TCGCAAACAATGCCGCAGTGACTAACTAGAGTGACACCATCTTCCAAATACACAAACACAACTAAAGAATAAATTATGGAAGTGTTATTGCCTAGTCAAAATTTCACAGTTTTGACAGATTCTGCCAAATTGCTTTCTACAGAGATATTTTTCCATTTATAATCTTCAAAAGCACATTATTGGGACCAGCAGATAGCATAATGGCTATGTCGCTGGACTCCCACGTAGTCGAGTGCAGTTTGAGACCCGGACCCGGTAGCTTGAACTCACACCGGGCATGTGTGCGTGCGTGCCCAAGATCCCGAGAGGAGAATGGAGGAGAAGGGATTGCGGCGTGGCCATTCCCCCTGGGGGGTGATTTCTCACTTTCTGTCTCTCTGTCTCTCTCTGTCTGTCTGGCGAGCGCACACGCCCTATAGCAAAAACCTCTCAAAAAAAAGAATATGGCCTCAAATCTCAGTTCTCCCTCTTATCATTTCTGTTATCTTTCACAAGTCATTCACCATTTTCAATGTCAGCTTCTCATTCATACTATTGTATGGGGTTACTAACAATACTTACATCATGGAAGTAAGGGAAGGGTAAATGAAGCAATGCACATAAAAACCTCAAGAAGGAACCAGTCCATGGCCTGGTGGTTAAGGCTGCTGGATCCCACATGGCTGACCACACAGTTAAAGTCTCAGATCCTGTGGCATGAGAAACATGTCACACACATGGCATAAGTGCCTAAAACCCCGAAGGGAGAGATGGAGGAGAGATTACAATACAGCCATGAGAGGGAAGAGAAGAAACTGCAGTATGAGCATGCCCCCTGGGGCTGACAAAGAAAGTTAGCAAGAGGAGAGCAGGCGTAGAGGAGTGAGAGTGAGAGGCTATTTTACACATGGCTGTCAGAGAAGGCCTTTCTGATGAAGTGACACTGGAGCAAAACGTGCAGTTAAGCATAGGCCATGTACATGTCTAATGGATCTGCTACTAAGAGAATGATGGTAACAATACCTTTCATCTTCCAGATCTTTACACCGGCTCTAGGAGGCAGTGTAGGAAAAACTAGCCAGTGGATGGTGAGGAAGAGGTTGCTGAAGCACCTACTACCTTTATTATCATGATAAAGTTAAATTATCTAACTCTGATTGCCTAATTCTCTGCAGCTCTGAGTGAAAACGCAGGATATGAAGACTAAGACTACCTTGACCACTGTATCCTCCAATTAGGCATTATGATGATAAACAAAACTTTTCATGAGTAAGAGTGGAAATAAGTGGGAGAAGAAATAAATCAGAAACAGAAATTATATGAAAACCAAAATAACATTCATTATGTAGGCCAACTGAAGTCTAGCAAGATGGAAATTAGATATTTTATAGCATTATATAGTCAAAGACATTAACTTTTTACACAAATTAAATCAAGAAATAGATTTCTGTTATAAGACCACAAATAATGCAAAGGAAAAATGCATGACAGATATTACCACCGTAACAAAATCCATATCAATTTGTTTTTCAGTCATAATTGAAAATGATCTAACCTTCACAACCTATGCTTTGTTACCTTAAGGAGGAACACGATTCTTTAAATCAAGCACATAACAGTATTTATAACAGATTGAGATAATGACTTGCATATTCCACATACCAGTACTTTGGGTTAGGTTAATAGCTAGATGAACTTCAAATTTCCACCTCATAAAACAATCCTATACAGCCATTTGATCTCCAGATCTTCCAGGACACAGTTACTCTGACAGCTAATGCTCCCAGATGATGAGATCATCTGCTCCACAGTCCTGGGGCTTGGGGAGAAAGAGTATCACCGACCAAGTACCTTCCAGAGAACAGAGTCCATTATCTGGGTTCATTTCATGGAAAACTTTATACAGTGAGGATGTAGCTCTATGTGAAATTACTGTCTTGTCAGTAAAGCCAAAAACGTCATAACTTTTCCTTATCCCTACTCAAGCCCATATCTGTGTTTTCTCTTCTGCACAACCTTGCCCCTCATTATAGACCTGGCTAAGCCTATAGACAATGCAAACACTGGGCTGGCTTGTGAACAAGGTGCTGATAGCTCACAACCTAGTTGTGTATCTTGTCAACCCAACATGGGTAAAAGTATCTCCCTGCACTGAATTTTATTTGTACCGGAAAACACTGGAATCAGTGTCTGTGTGTCCACACGTATAATTAAGTACACAAAACTCTTGTCTCTCAAAGCACTGGAGAGAGGGCATGGTAATGAAAATAATGTTAAAGATGACTCCTCGGTTTATGGCTTAAGAAGTGGGTGTCTATGGGGGACCAGCAGTTAGCGTAATGGCTATGTCGCTGGACTCCCACGGTTCGAGTCCCAGACCCAGTGGCTTAAACTCACGCCGGGCACGTGTGCATGCGTGCCCAAGATCCTGAGAGGAGAATGGAGGAGAAGGGATTGCGGTGTGGCCATTCCCTCTGGGGTGGGGGGGGATTTCTTGCTTTCTATCTCTCTGTCTCTCTCTGTCTTTCTGGTGAGCTCACGTGCCCTATAGCAAAAACCTCTCCAAAAAAAAAAAAAAAAAAAGAAGTGGATGTCTAGTGCTGCCTCTTAACCACAAAGGAGGAACAAATTTTGGAGTGAACGATGATAAAATCCACTTGAGATAAAAGGTAGAAAAACTGGCATTTGGAGAAAGATAAATATCAGGTAGAAATATAAATATGCAAATTACTGATGTATAAATAATAAATGAAGCCATTAAAGTAGATCATCTTGACTAGAGAGAAAGATTTTAGAATTCTGCAAAACAATAACATTTATTCCTAGACAGAGGAAACACTGGCAGACTTTTTCTTTTCTTTTTCTTTTTTTGCTGGAGAAGAAAATGTGATAGTCTCAAACTGAAGATTTTTTTAATGGATTTCTATAATTAAGATGGAAAAGAAATGAGTAAGAAAGTATTAACAAATAATGAAGCCCTTCCTGGTTGCACAGTCAGTAGGAAACAGCAGCGCTGGGTGCCACATGGCTAACCACCAGTTTGGACCCCCATTTCAAACCCCTAGTTTGAACACTAGGTGCATACGTGTCCAAGATCCTGAAGAGTTGGAGGGCTAGGGAAAGGGGCTGGCAGCATCACATGGGCCTGTTTGGTAGGCTTTCCCCCCATCTCTTTTACTCTCTATCATGAAAAAAAAAATTTTTTTTTGAAAAAAAAAGAATGGACCAGTTTCATAATTCTAAGAAATTGTTCAAGAAGACCAATTCCTTAGCAGAGAATTAGTGTGTGAAGCATCTGACTGTCAAAGTCTCCCATGAGAAGACTATTAAAGCCCAGCTTCTCAGTGAAGACTTACTTATGTAATCAAAGTACAACTATAGATACTATTTTCTAGAATAATGAATGGAAATACAACAATTGCTTTTTCAAAGATCCAATTAGTCGAATCTAGACTATGCACTGGCACTGATAGAGCCAGCACTTACTTCAAATTGGAGGTCATCCCTAGATGCAGAAAATCAAACAAATAGGACCAGCCATGACAGCACACGCTAGATGCTGCTACTCAGCAAACAAAGGCCTGGGATCGACCACCAGGTCACCCTAAAAAAGCTGGACATATTGGTGAATGCCTGTGGTCCTAGCTATGCAGGAGTCTGAAACTGAAGAATCACAACACGGTGAAACCTTGTCTGAAACGCCAGACACACACAATGTTTTTAAGAAATCAACAAACTGGGTCATCTAGAAATATGCTTGTTAAAGAAGTTGGCCAGCTCCATGTTTGAGTCCCAGAACCGGAGGCTTGCAAAACATACCAAGCACTTGGCATTAAGGAAGCTGGCCAGCTCCATGTTTGAGTCCCAGAGCCGGAGGCTTGCAAAACATACCAAGCACTTGGACATGCATGACCCAAATTCTGACAGGACAGAGAAACTGTGAAGAGATTGTGGCAGAACCATCCCTCTTGAGGGGTGTTTCTCTCTCTCTCTCTCCCTAGAAATCACACAAATTCTCTAGCAAAAATTAAAGGAAAATACTAACAATTATATTCTATTTATGCACTGTTCCTCCTATCACACAGTACCCAAAAGAAAAGACCCCTACCAAGTGTAATTCCTGAGTTATTAAAAATGCTCAGAAGCTAAGTCAGCTCCTATTTTACTTTGGTCTAGACCCCATAGTTTTTACCTTAAAAACAGCAATCTTCCTATTACCATTCCTTTCCTCACATATCTCTGAAAGCACATGAAAGTCATGTGGTTCGTGGTAGATCTTAGAGGTAAAGAGGACCAAAACCAATCTCACCCATTCCCTGGTTCTGATGGAGAAGTTGTGATCTACTGTCTTTGAGAAGAGTAGCATAGTTTCCAAAAGTCCCAATTGCATATAATACAAAATAAGACTAGCATCAAAATTTAAGTTCAAATGTACTTCAAATTGCGGGACACTTTGTTTGACTTCTATAACCTAGAATCTTTTATAACCTCAGCCTTTCAAAGTATAAACATTATAAAGTGAAAAAGAGTTTCAAGTCTTTAAAGAAAAACTTGAAAAAAAAAAAAGAAAAGAAATACAGGAACCACTCAAGTCTTGAAAGAAAAACTTGAAAAAAAAAAAAAAAGAAAAGAAATACAGGAACCAGGACATTAGTATCCTAGTACCGAATAAAAAGATAACCCATCTTAATAAAATCAAGGAAATTCCATGCTTCAAGCTCTATCATACTAATCACGTTTTTAAAAAAATTAGTTATTTAACTTAACATTATTTAGCCATTTAGCTATTTATTTTAATTTGCCCAGAGAGGGACAGAGTGGGAGGAAGGGAAAGTGAGAAAGCAAGCCACCAGGTCCAGGACTCAAACCACGACTGGCCATGTGAGAATCCAGCGCTCTTAACCATACCACCTGTTGGCCCCCTAATCACATTTTTGTTTCTGAACTTCAAAGCAAATAATCTAAGAACTTTAAAATAAACTATCCCTTTGAAACAATAAGAAATATATATTTGCACTTACTTTAGGAATAGGATTCAGCAGAACTACACCCGATTTCTTAGTGATGACCTGCTTTGTTGTATAGTGATGGTCTATAAGTTGTGGGATGTTTGAAAATCCAGTGCCTTCAAATCGATACAGATTCTGAAGAGAGAAAACAAAGTCAACATGTGTCAAGTCAACTGCAGAAAAGCTGTATTTACTGATAATTCCAGTTCCATTTAAGAAAAACCATTATATTCAACAATGTAAATATACATAACACTATTGAACTTTTAAAAATTGTTAAGATGGTTCAAAAATAGATAAAACTCCAACTTATTTAAAAATCTAACTTTTGACAAAGTGATTTTCACAATTATTAAATCTAATTCAAACTGTTAATAAAGAGAAAAGAAAAACTAACAAACAGACCTGAATTGCATTTTGTTAAATGATAGCCAAAGGAAACAAAACATGAGATACATTCAATTTAGAGGGAAACAAGAGAATTACATACATCTACACACATGTTCATTCCACCTGATAAAACTTTGAGTATCACAAATAATGTCTGGTGTGAGGAAGTATAATATATTTTTTTCTTTTTTTGGAGAGGTTTTCACTATATGACACGTGTGCTCGCCAGAAAGACAGAGAGAGACAGAGAGATAGAAAGCGAGAAATCACCCCCCGGGGGGGATGGCCACACCATGATCCTTTCTCCTCCATTCTCCTCTTGGGATCTTGGGCATGTACGCACACGTGCCCGGCGTGAGTTTAAGCTACCGGGTCCAGGACTCGAACTGTGGTCAACTACATGGGAGTCCAGTGACATAGCCATTACGCTAACTGCTGGTCCCAATAATAAATATTTTAATACCACCGATGATGTGTTTCCTACTTGTTATTACAGTATTGACTTTCAATTTTTATATATGGCTCATTACCTAAAGCTCTCACTCACGCACCTCTAATACAGAAATGAAATGGGCCAGTGGTAAAACTGCAAATAGCAGCGTGCTCAGTCCTTAGCACTCTCGATTCCCTATCATGAACTACGTGGCACTTCCCCAAATTCTGCCAGCACCTCTCTCCTCTGTCTTCATATCTCAAATGGACCTGTGAGTAAGTTCTCATATGGATGAACTGAGAGCAGTAAATGTAGCAAATAAAACATATCCCGTTAGTCATTTTGTTTTTAAGTTTTTTTTTGCCATGGGGTAATGTGTACCTGCCAGAGAGAAACAGAGAGAGACAGTGAGAGGGAAAAGTAAGAAATCACTCCTCGGGGGGTGGGGAGGAATGCACGCTGGATTTTGGACACACACGCACATGTTCCCAGTGTGATTTTCAAATTATCAGGTCCAGGACTTGAACCATGGTCGACAATGTGGGAGTCCAACGCTGTAACCACTACACCACCTATGGGCCTCTACATACTGTTCAGTGCAAGCAGCACTGCAACTTGATAAGCGTCATCGGATTCCTCACAAAGAGCTCACACGTACATACCTGAGAGAGATGTACAGAATAGATATGGATGTGCCCTGTTTTAAGGAAACTGTTCATAATAAGAACTTTCAAAATTGTCTAAATTGGGATGTTTTGTATTACTAAAGATTATTTTTCCAGTTAAAATGAAAAAATCTCAAAGTTCCTTTTCCATAGTATAAAATAAGACTCAATTTACCAAAACTTCATTTATATACAACTTTTAAAATGAGTATTTCTGTTTCATCAAATAAGGAACAAACATGCAATAGTTTACAGGGACATTTAACTATGGAGTATAAGTCAAGTCAGGGCAGTTTGTGTCAGGGTGAGTTGAATCAGGGTGGTTGTTAACCGTCTGTCTGAAGAGCTTTTTGTCCATTGAAGTCAGACCCGTCATAATATGTTAGCACCCAGTTTTAGACTATTTCACACCAAAGACGCTGATATGTTTCTAAGTGTGCAATGCACCGAGTCAGAGCTCTTAGGCTCCTTAGCTGGTCACTGGATCCAGAAACATTCGGATCTTCCCAGTGTAAGTGTGGGGCTTGTCTAAGCATTAACACTCAAACCTCTGCCCCAGCATATGGTACATGGCAAACTCTCAATTCTCAAAACACCACACAGGTACAAACCTTGCATTACAAAATCGATTCCAAATCAGAATTCAGGAAAAGAAAAACTTTCAAAGAATACTTAAGCTCAGATTACATGGGAATTATGATTATCTGTAAATAATTCAATTATCCTACAAGAAAGTCTGTTGTGAAATTGATAAGAAAGGAAGGAACGCAAAAGTTCATAGATACACAGGATGGAATAAGAACAATAATTAAATAAAAACAATATTTCAGCCAAATATCCTGTTACTCTCTTTGTCTTCCTTCAGTCTCTACCCCAACATACCAACCAGGGGATCCTGTTAGAACAGAACATCTCACTGGTTTGCTGAGAATTCTCGTCTCCCTCAGAATAAAAGCCAAAGTCCTTATCGTGGTCTGGAAGACCTGTACGACCTCCCCTCTCCTGCCTGGTCCCTCTTCTCTGACTACTTCCCCTCTGTGTACTCCCCGCCAGCCACGTTCTCTTCTTTGTTCTGGAAGAAGCTAGAGGTACTTTCTCCTCAGAGCCTGCTGCTTTGCCTCTTGGATTAATTCCCCAGTCACAGGAGTAAGAGCTCCCTTACTTCCTTCTTAAAGGACCTGGCTACATTAGACAACGCTGAATATCCATTTCTCATGCCAGCTAAATTGCTCAACTCTTTTTCCTTATTGAAGTTTTTCCTTAGAACTTATTACTATCTAAATATAGTAATATATATTTTACTTAACATTTTTGCTAGTTCTCATTCTAGAATGTAGGCTCATGAAGTGATAATGATTTTTTAAATTTGTTATAGGGCATGTGCGCTTGCCAGAGAAAGACAAAGAGAGAGAGAGAGAAGAGATAGTGTGAGAGCACCCCCAAGGGGATGGCCACACCACAATCTCTTTTCCTCCATTCTCCTCTCAGGATTTTGGGCACACATGCACATGTGCACAGTGTGGTTTTCAAGCCACTGGGTCCAGAACTCGAACAGCATAGTCAGCCATGTGGGTTCTAGCTACCTTAACCACGATACCACTGGCTGGCCTGAGGTGATAAATGTTCACATTTGTATTGTTCGTTACAATATTCCCATGGTCCAGAACAGTGCCTGACATATATCATCTGTATCAATAAGCATGCCGATGAATGAAATGAATGCATATAAAATGATTATGAAGTTAAACAGGCAAATGAGCCAACTTAGAAATGAATAAAAACTGGAAAGTTTACATAGGCACACACTCAAGACACCTAAGTACAATGTTTCATAAAGTTAGTAATCAGATGAAGTTCACGCAGAATGAAATTTCAAATAAGTTAATAAATCCAGTGTCTTAATGTTCTCAGGTAAAATTCCAATATATCCCTTAACTAGAGAAATATTCATAAAAATAATGAGGATTTTCGGTTTCCTTTCCTTTCCTTTCTTTTTTTACATTGTCAGAGGGTGCATGCGCTCAACAGAAAGTAAGAAAGAGAGAGAGACTGGGTCTCGAACCATCCAGTCAGCCATGTGGGATCCAGCTGCCTTAACCACAACACCACCAGTTGGCCTCAGTTTGTCTTTCTTAATTTAAAAATATTTATCATTTTAAATTTAATTTTTTAAAGGAATTATCCTGATGTCAGTGAAGTTCTGAGAGTCAGAGTCCATGCAAATCCTATGAATCACTTTCTTAGAGGTGAAGATACAGTAATGGATCTAAAAACGATGTGAACTCTATAATTAGAGAGTTCACCTAAATAACTAAAGGCCAAGAATAACAGCATCAATGCATTCGTTAAAAGAGTTAAGGCCTTGTTTCTTGGTGCACTCAAAATTCTAAATATTACCTTTGACTTTGTATAGCTCTCTATAAATTTCTTGTGATTTAGTTGATCTGAGGTTGGTATTACATACTGAAGGTGTATTTTTTTGTTTGTTTGTTTTTGTTTGTTTTTTCTACATGTCTTTAACAATAATACAAAAGAGAGAATCCGGACTTACTTTTAAATAAGGAACTTCCCTTAGGAGCTAAAGTTGCTAATAATCCTTTTTTTTTTTCTTCATGCTAAAGGATATAAAAATGTGCAAATGCACATAAGCAAAAAGAGAAAAAGAGAGAGAGAAAGCAAGCCCCAGTGAGGGCTGGTCATGCGGCAATACACTTTCTTCCTATTCTCCGTGGTGTCAGAATCTTGGGCACACACATGTCCTTGGCACGATTGCCAAGCTTCTGGAGCCAGGACCTGAATGTTGGTCAGCCATGTGGAATCTGGCTTCCTTTGCACAGAGCTTAACTGTGGCACCATAAGGCCTCTTGGTTGCTGATGGTCTCTGTATGAATTCCAAAAAAAGCAATTAAAAAAGTGTATAGAATAATAGAATGGAGGCCAACATGGCAAGGTGGTTAAAGCAGTTGAATTCCACATAGCCAACTGTGTGGTTCAAGTCCCAGACCTGGTGGCTTCAAAAGTATGCCAGGTATGAGTGCATGCACAAATCTCGAGAGGAAGGAGAACTGAAGAAGAAGGGACTGAGGCATGACCATTCCCCGTGAGGGGTGCTCTCTCACTTTCCCTCTCTCTGTCTCATTCTCTCTGTCTCCCTCCGGTGAAATGACATACCATCTGGCAATTGTTTGTTTACAAGTCTATGGTAAATTTCTACAAATTTATAATTACACTATGAAATGAATTTCTATGAAGATAATTCTGTTATTATATTTTTAAATAGCATATAACAGTAAGTATTAAGTAAGACATAAGTAGAAAATAGATATGTCAGTTTTTGTCAAAGTATATAGAATATATTTAAAAAGCCTGAAAGACTATATCTAAACATTGAGCCCATAAGGAGGTGTTATGAAGTATACATTCCATAACACGTACTTTAAATTTTTACCAAAAGCATGTATTACTTTCATTTTTAAAACATCTATTACACCTAGAATTTGAACTTATCACTGTATTACTTAAGAATCACCCATATACATAGATGAAAAA